TGTAGAGTGGCAGTACAGGCCAACTGCTCGGTTTCGATTTATCAAAACAAGATACTGTGCTTACATTGGACATTCAGTGTAGCAGCATTGGCTGTATCATTTCTAAGGCTGTTATTCGCCACACAACGGTGGGTTCCGTGGTCTGTTCTTTTCACATTTGTTATTGTCAACTGTTTTTTGTCATCTGAAATACTGATCCTTAGGCCTGTATTTACAGGAGATCCATCTTCAATCCATGATATTATTGGTACTGGATTTCCATCAACGTTACAAGATAGAGTCTCGTTATTTCCTTCTATTGTAGTTTTATTTTGAGGATGGGCAACGATCTCTGCATCGATGGTTGATCTGTAGCAAACAAGACAATTATTGCCATGAAAGGAGATTTTGAAAGTACGAACTGAAATCATTTCAAGACTATACGAGCCTGTTTTATGTTTTAAATGGATTTAAGTAAGCAAGTTACAGTGCGACTATTAAGGCCATCCTAGCAAATTATTTGCAAATTTACCACCACCGTTTGAGTGTTAAACGATACACGAGGCCACTAACTCAGTGCTTCTGTAGTGTGTAGCGTGCTTAGATGAATGAGTTGTCGGAAATGCAGTGTTAACATCCCATGTTTTCATTGGTTAAATTTGAACAGGATCTTTGCTTCCTTGGTTGAAGGGGTCGCATAAACTGGAAACTGCAGTAATGTCAATTTTAGGAAATTTTTCCTACATTTCCGAATTCTGTTAAAGGCAGGCATGCCATGGCATAATATACATGTAGAACTGTAACCTAGAACCTATAATAAAACACCAAATTAAATCAAAGTAGGTGAAAAGAAAAACTTAATCTGTAAGAAAAATGGAAAACAACATCACAAAAATCTTCGTTGCAAAAATCTGAAAAAGATGTGTGACCCTCCCCTTGAATAGCATACAGATCTAATAACTCTAAATTTAATCTAAACATTGAAATCTTCTTTTTGGTAGTTTTCCAAGTTCGAGTACCTTGATAAAAAAATAAAAAAATAAAAAAATAAAAAAAAAATGAACTACACCCTCCTCTTTCTGCCGTATTATTTTATAAGAAAAAGCTCCAGAATGACTCACCATTTCTATTACTTTCCGACTTTATCAACAAAA